TTATCTAAATCTAGCACACAAGAGTGACACAACATAAATTTGAATTATATTACCTACAGATTTTTTAATAATTAATTAGGATAAACACTTTTCATTTTCGAAATTTCAAGTCACGTAATTTCATCCAAAACTAAATTTATATACAGTCGTTTCATTGCTTCCAATCTCTCAAAGTCTCTTCGAAATCCCGTTACTTTCATTTTTTTGTATCTTTTTACTAAAGGTCGAGTCAAGTTATGTGAAATCAATGTTAATAGTTGCATCTTAATTAGCACGCATATGACTTGCCTAGTTGCCTTATCTAGCTCAAGGAACAAGTAAAAAGAGAATATTCAAATATTGAAAAAGAATAATATTTTTTTATTAATACAGGGAAAGGGATTATATTGAAAGGGAGACATGGCCCCTCTAAGATTCTAAGGTAAGAATAAATCAATGTTTATGTAGGACCATTTACAATTTAAAATGGAGTATTCAATATAATACATTGCAAGAAATATTTTACTTTTCTTTTTTGCTATTCAATCTTTATCGAGTCAATAATCAAGGCTCGAAGATAATTGCATTTGGAAAAGCAATTTTCTATTTCTAGCGTAAATTCAAATTTAGTCACTACCACAAAGTGCCATTATTGTATGTGAAATCTTCACCGATTCAAAATGTTATCATGTTAAACCTCGATTAATAAAACTTATCAACGATAGTGTCCTAATAACTTGGATAAAAGAAGGACATTGCACTTTCCCAACTCAAGAATCCATAAAAAGCATCATTTTAGAGCTTTATCAAATTTCACAATATTTACCATCTTTAAATATATTCTCTTTAATTTCCTTTAGTTTAATTTTGAGGGACAGGAAAAAGAAACCTCTTGTATACAAATCTCCACCACTATCTGCCTCGATTTTTGGGTCGCTAGCTAGTATATAAACCATGCTCCTTCATTACTGAAAATCACAAGTTTCTTGTCTACACATTCTCCTTCAACTGCAATTCCAGCCACTCGAAAACCCACTAAAAATTCTGTGTTTTCTTAAGGTGAGGGTTTATATATTCTAATATTTTGTGATTTTCTAGCCATGCAACTTGTTTCTCTTCTAGTTTTCGCATCGAAACACACACTTAACCATAGTACATTAATTTGTTCGTGTTTATTACGCGATACTAGAAAATACAGCACATGATAGAGCTAAAAATATTATTATAATCATTCAAATTAATTTTCTAATTTGTTCATTCGATTAAAACCCATTTATTTTTTAACGGAAGTCTTTAATGTGACCTCAATATCCATAGTTCAAGGTCTTTCACGTCAGATGTTGCGCTTCACAAGGGAAGTATTTTTAACAAGGTGACTAAAATGAAATAAAAAAAGATATAGCACTGTTCAATTATCCGTCCAAAATATTTGGATATGGGCATTATAAATTTGTGCATTTTTATGGAAGCAGGGAAAGATGAACAGGCCAGGAGATTGGAACTGCAGGTCATGCCAGCACCTGAATTTCCAGAGGAGGGACTCGTGCCAGCGATGTGGAGACCCCAGGCCCGGCGAAAGAGGTGACTACGGAAGTTTAGGTGGCGGACGAGCCGCCTTGTCCTTTGGCATCACCGGCCCAGACGTAAGGCCCGGTGACTGGTACTGCACCGTTAGCAACTGCGGCGCCCACAACTTTGCCAGCCGCTCCAGCTGCTTCAAGTGTGGCACCCTCAAGGACGACTGCTCCGGCAGCGGCGGCGGAGGATTTGATAGTGAAATGTCTCGAGCTCGAGGGCTCGGGCTAGGAGGCAGCAGCCGCTCCGGATGGAAATCTGGGGACTGGATTTGCGTTAGGTAAAATCTCTAGTCAATTGAAGATCAATAGAAATTGATTTCAGTGCTTCTGCAATTTTCCTTTGCATGGCACAGTCAAATTCTTGCATATAGTTTCATAAGACGATTTAACGATTCTTTTTCAGTTAACATTGTACTGTAAATTTTCTTGTTGTGGAAATTATGACAGGTCAGGGTGCAATGAACATAACTTTGCCAGCAGAATGGAATGCTTCAGGTGCAATGCACCAAGGGAATCCAGCAGCAAGTTTTCTTACTAAAGCGTGCATTGAGATTCTCTAATTCTGAGTAAAGTCGTGTCTCCTTTCTTCACGATTTTCCTTGCGCTTGCTAATATTATAAACGTAAGTTGACATCTATATCACTGGATTTACATTTCAGGTCCGAAGTTAAAAACAGAGAATCAAGAGCGAATGAATTTTTTTGGGACTTCCAATTTTCTCTTTTTTTTTCAATTTTTTAATATTTTTTTCTTTTGGAAGTTCAGGTCAATTATGATTGCAAGTAGAGCTTAGTCCTTCGTTTTGTGAACTTGTATTTCTTGTTGTTTCGATCTAATGAATATCAATGTCTTGTGATTTTATTTTTTCCCTATAGTTGTTTAATGTTTTGGACGTCACAATATTTTACGGCACTTGTATTGAAGATAGTTGGGTGCATGTCGATGGATATCTTTATTTACAATCGTACATGACATATATTTTATTAGACTTTATTGCTAATCTATAAGAGTATTTTAAGAAACTCTTTAAACACGAGATACTTTCTATTTTAAATAATCAATTCTTAAAATTATGTTTCAAAAAACTCTTTAAATTAACATTTTAATTTATTGAGTGAATTTGACTCTTCAAATTTGGAGATTCAAACTCACTCTCGAATTAAATGCATTTAAAGTATTTCAATATGGGAAATTAATAAAATATTTTAGAGAAAAATGGTTGAAATAAAAGATAAAGAAAAATAATAAATAGTTTTTGGAAGTACAATATTAAGTGATAAATATAAAGAATTTGTTGGAGTTTAACTCTCTAAATTAATAGATGTTCTCAAAATTATAGAAATACTTTTTAAAAATAGAGTCTCTTAGAGATATTCTAATATAGTTAATTTAAGTTTAAATAATGTTATTCATCGCAGTATATCCTTCTACAGTAAAAAATGATAATAAATAAATATATAAATAAATAATTAGTTAAGTTATTTAAAAATATTAAAACTTCTTCGAAAAATCCTTGTTAATCAACATAAAATATATCATGTGTCACGTAGTGCATCGACAATGGATTTGTTGTTAAGGTTTCGCCTTGGTGGCATTAATGACAAGACGTTCTCTGTCCATTTTTGTACATTTCCTTGTCTACAGTGTATACTGTATATTATCCATCTTCGTTTTATTTTCACGTCCTATCAAAATGT